AGTTATAATTTCTGGAAAGTTACCTGAATTAATAAGCCTCAGAATTTTATATATCTATAAATATCTTATATGTTTCTTACTTGTATATTATCTTCTCTACATTCTTTATTTTTTATATAGGGTATGACACCTACACAAATCTACTTCAATAGGATTGTAATCTCACTAATATGTATATTCTTTCTATTTATACCAATTAAAAATTGAGTACCTTCTTAACCTGTGTGATTCCTACATCTTTCCATGAATGTTACATAGATATTCTACTCAACATCCTAGAATAAGAATTTTTTACTTGAGGCCTGCTGTGTGGATAGGTTTCAAAGGGTTCATGTACTTGGGGGGAAATGGGAAAATTAGGTCATTATTTTAGATTTTCTTCAATTATGAATTATTTTTAATATTTTATTTTTCCAATTACATGTAAAACTATTTTATTTTTTTTTTAATTTTGAGTTCCAAATTGTCTCCCTCCCTTCTCTTTCATTGAGAAGCCAAGCAATTGTTATAGGTTATACATGCATAGTCATGCAAAGCATTTCTATATTATGTTTTGAAAGAAAACACAGAACAATCAACAAAAAAGAAAAATAAAATCTTTAAGAAGTATGATTTGATGTGCATTTTGACTCGATCAGTTCTTTCTCTGGAGGTGGTTAGCATTTTTCAACATAAATCCTTTGGAATTGTCTTGGATCACTGTATTGCTGAGAATCATTAAGTCATTCACAATTAATCATTGTACAATTTTTTGCTATTACTATGCATGTTCCCTTGGTTCTGCTCACTTCACTATGAATTACTTCACATAAGGCTTTCCAGGTTCTTCTGAAAGCAACCCGCTTAATACTTTCTTATAGAACAATCGTATTCCATCACAATCAAATACTACAACTTGTTCAGCCATTCCCCAATTCTTTGCCACCACAAAAAGAACTGCTATAAAAATATTTATACATACACATCTTTTTTTTTTCTTTCGATTTAAAAAAATCTCTTTGGGATACAGATCTAGTAGTAGTATGTCTGGGTCAAAGGATATACACAGATTGGTTGCCCTTTGGGCATAGTTCTAAATTGCTCTCCGCAATGGTTGGATCAATTCACAACTCCACCAACAGTATATTAGTGTCTCAATTTTCCACATCCTCTCCAACATTTATAAGTTTCCTTTTCTGTCATATTAGTCAATCTGATAGGTTTGAAGTAGTATCTCAGAGTTCTCTTAATAAGCAATTCTCTAATCAATAGTAATTTGGAGCATTTTTTATATGATTCCATAATTTTAATTTCTTTTTCTGAAAGCTTCTTGTTCATATCCTTTGACCATTTATCAACGAAGATATGATTTGTATTCTTATAAATTTGACTCAGTTATGTATTTGAGAAAGGAGGCTGCTATCAGAGAAATTTGCTGTGAATTATTTTCACAGTTTTGATTACCATGTATTTCCCTCCATGCTCTCTCTCTCTCTCTCTCTCTCTCTCTCTCTCTCTCTCTCTCTCTCTCTCTCTCTCTCTCTCTCTCTCTCTCTCTTCTTCTCCCACCTTTATCCCTGTCCTACCTCTAAATTGTTTTGCTTCTGACCACCACCTCCCCAATTATCCTTCCCTTCTAGCTGCCCTTCTTCACTTTCCCCCCTCCACTCTTACTTTCCTGTAGGGTAAGATAGACTTTTATACCCATTTGAGTGTGTATGTAATTCCCTCTTTGAACCAAATCCTGTGAAAGTAAGGTTCTAGCATTGTCTGCTACACCCCCACCCACCCCAACCCTGATTTTATCCTCCATTGTAAAAGCTTTTTTTCCCACTATTTGATGCAGATTTATAACTATGCATAAAACTATACTAAGCATACTTCTATTTATTAGTTCTTCCTCTGGAGGGTATATAGCATCTTCCTTCATAGGTCCTTTATAGTTGATTTGAGTATTTATAGTACTCAGAATAACCCGATTGTTCACAATTACTATTTGAAGAATATGGCCTGTTACTGTAAACAATGTTCTCTTGGTTCTGCTCACTTGGCGTTTCATTATTTCATGCAAGTCTTTTCATGTTTTTCTAAAATTAACCAGCTCGTCATTTCTTACAAAGAAGCAGTATTCCATCACAATCAAATACCACAACTTGTTTAGCTATTCCCCAACTGATATGCATCCTCTCAATTTCCTGTTCTTTGCCACCACAAAGAGAGCTGATGTAAATATTTTATGACATATAAGTTCTTTTCCTTTTTTCCTAAGCATTTTGGGAAACAGACCTACTAGTGTTATTGGTGGGTCAAAGGTTATATGTAGTTTTATAACTCTTTGGGAATAATTCCATATTGTTCTCCAAAATGATTGAATCAGTTCACAGTTCCACCACCAGTGTATTAATGTCCCAATTTTTCCACATGTCCTACAACACCTGCCATTTTCCCCATCTATCATTATAGCTAATTTAATAGGAATGAGATGATACTTCAAAGTAATTTTAATTTGGATTTCTCTAATCAATAATGATTTAGAGCATTTTTTTTAATATGGCTACATGCAGTTTTGATATGTTCATAGAAAAACTGCCATATCCTTTGACCATTTGTCAATTGGGTAATGACTTATATTCTCATAAATTTGACAAAATTCTTTATGTATTTGAGATACGAGACCTTTATCCAAGAAATTGTGTATAATCTTCCCTCCTCCTCCACCAATTTTCTGCTTGCCTTCTAATCTTGGCTACTTTGGTTTTATTTGTACAAAACTTGGTAATTTAATATAACCAAAATTATCCATTTTACATCTTGCAATGTTGTCTCTTGTTTGTTTATTCATTCTTCTCCTATCCATAAGTCTGATAGGTGATGAGTTCCATATCTTCTAGTTTTCTTTTTTAATAGTATTTTATTTTTCCCCAATTACAGGTGAAGACAATTTTTAGCATTCATTTTTACGAGATTTTGAGTTCCAAATTCTCTTCCTTCCTCCCCTTCCACCCTCCTCATTGAGAAAGCAAGCAATTCTACATAGGTTATACATGTATAGTCATACAGAATATATTCATAATAGTCATGTTGTGAAAGAAAATTAGACAAAAAAGAGCTCAAGAAAAATAAAGAAAGTTTTTTTAAAAAGGTATGCTTCAATCTGTATTCAAACACCATCAATTCTTTCCCTGGGGATGGATAGCATTTTCATTATGAATCCTTCAGAGCTGTCTTTGGTCATTGTATTGCTAAGAATAGCTAAGTTGTTCACAGCTTACAATATTGCTGTTACTTCGTACACAGACATTTCACTTTGCATCAGCCCATCCAAGTCTTTCCAGGTTTTTCTGAGAGCATCCTGCTCATCATTTCTCATAGTACAATAGCACTCCATCATAATCACATACCACAACTTGTTCAACTATTCTTCAATTGATGGGCATCTCCTCAGCTTCTAATTCTTTACCCTCAGAAAAGAGCTGCTATGCATATTTTTGTACATATAGGTCCTTTTCCTTTTTGTTTTCTATCTCTTTTGGTAAATAGAGCTAGTAATGGTATTGCTAGGTCAAAGGGAATGCATGGTTTTATAGCACTTTGGACATAGTTCCAAATTGCTGTACAGAATGGTTGAATCAGTTCACAACTCAGTCAACAATGCATTAGTGTCTCAGTTTCCCCCTATTTGTCCAACATTTGTCATTTTCCTTTTCTGTCGTATTAGCCAATCTAATAGGTATGAGATAGTACTCAGAATTGTTTTAATTTGCATTTCTCCAATCAATAGTGAGTTAGAATAATTTTTCATATGGCTGTATTGGTTACTGAAAACTAATTATATCTTTTGATCGTTTATCAATTGGGGAATGGCTTTTATTTTTATAAATTTGACTTAGTTTCCTATACATTTGAGAAGTGAGACCTTTATCAGAGAAACTTGCTTCATATTTTTTTCACAGTTACTATTGCTAACTGTATTTTGCTCCATTTTATCCCTTCCACCATTTATTACATTTTTTCTCTCCCTTCACCTTGTCCCTCCTCAAAAGTGTTTTGCTTCTGACTACCTCCTTACCCAGTCTGCCCTCCATTTTATCACCTCCCCCTTCTCTTATCCTCTTTCCCTCCTACTTTCCCACAGGGTAAGATAGATTTCTGTATCCAATTGAGTGTGTATGTCATTTCCTCTTTGAGCCAATTCTGATGAGAGTAAGGTTCACTCACTCCCCCTCTTCCCCTCCACTGTGAAAAGCTTTTCATTGCCTCTTTTATGTGAGATAATTTTCCCCATTCTACCTCTCCCTTTCTCTTTCTCCCAATACATTCCTCTCTCACCCCTTAATTTTATTTTTTGGATCTCATCCCTTCATATTCAACTCACATCTGTGCCCTCTGTGTATACACACACACACACACACACACACACACACACACATATATATGTATATATATATACATTCCTTCTAACTACTCTAATAATGAGAAAGGTCTTATGAGTTACATATGTCATCCAAAGCATTTCCAGCCCTGAAGGCTCAGAAGACTTGTAGAGCTGCCCACAAATTGGCACAATCTCCTGGGGAGGAGTAACTATAAGAAAGTGTCAAATGGGATAATGTGTATAAAGTCATTTATAAACTTTAAAGTGTTATATGAATATCGCCAACTAACATTGGTGACATATGCCAACTGATTTACACCCACTAGGAGGCCTTCCATTTGCCATTGTATCACTTGCAATTAGAATTCTTCTAAAATCATGTTCCATGACTCATAACTATAGAGAATCTTTGGGAGAATACTTTTGTTAAGATCAGTGTGATGGAGTGAGAGGATGTGAAAGGGTAAGATCATCTGTCTGTTCCCTGTACCCACTACTATGAATAGATAAAAATACCCCCATGTACGTATGTGCACATATATGTATATGTGTGTACAAATGCATGTCTGTATATATATATATATAATACATACATACATACATGCATATACATATACGTGTGTGTGTGTGTGTGTGTGTATGTGTGTGTATTTCAAGAGAGAAAAGAGACAAGAGAGAGAAAAAAGTGAGGACAGCCACAAAGCTCCAAATGAGAACAGTGCCTCAGCTCAGGACAATGAAATGACTAGACAGAATTAAAAAAAAAAATTACATTGCGGAGTAAATTCCGTGCATTAAAATATCTAAAAGCAGGGTTACCAGAAGGGAAAAAAAATAATTAGCTTCCAAAGTATAATAAGAAAAGTCAGAATTAGCCCTTGGCATAGACAAATAACATTAGATAATAAAGACTTAACAGCAGGGGTCTTAACCTTGATTCAATGGAGACTTTTCAGGGGGACTCTGAACTTAGATAAGAAAAATACATCTTTGTTAATACTGCTAATTGCACTTTGGCATTTCTTTCAGTTATAACTGTTGGTAACAAACCATGATTCTGCAAAGTGGTCCATGGGTTTCACCAGACTGCCAAAAAGGTCTATGACACAAAAAAAGTTAAGGAGATGTGCTTTAAAGGGATAAATGAAAAGTCTGTTATTGGTCAGGCAAGATTTGGTATCTATAATGAGTGATCTATTATGGATAAAAATGGAATCAACAAATTAATAAAATGACAACAACAGGAAGAAAGTGGTACAAAATTTAAATGAAAGAATGGGATGAATTGGAAACAAAATTCTTGGGCTAGGATGCAAATCTGAAGAAGTGACAGAAAATACAGTAAAATGAGATCGGAAATTCTCCAACTGGAAAAAGGTTCAAAACTCTTATAAGCAAAAGTGAGAATTAGAAGACGGGCCTCAGAGAATTCATCTGAGTCATTTATATTGCCCCTCCCAATTTTTTTAAAGTAATCTATATAACCATTTCCAAGAAGTCACAACATTGAATTTCCCGGCAAAATCAAGCAAAAAGATATGGCCAAAAATTAAAATTACTGGATGCCCCCTAAGAGAAATATCAGGTTCAATTCATCCAAATACATTGCCACAAACCTTTAGAACTTTGTTGAAAAGGAGGAAATTATGCAAATGTCCTGAATTTTAATGTACAAGATTATTCATCCACCATGAGAAAACACAGAAAAGGCTAGAATGTGATTTGCAAAAAATCAAGGCACTGATTGGACTACATCTGCAGAATCTTCTACCTAAGAAAACTAGGAATAATATTCAAAGGTAAATATATTTTTATTCTCTATGGTACTTCTCTAAGAAAAATAAAAAAGATCATACTGGAGGCTTTGACCGCCCAGGAATATAACAAGTAATAGTAATGGTAATAATAATAATAATAATAATAATAATAATAATAGTAACAGCAATAATAATAATTTACTTAGCTCTTTAAGGTTTGCAAAGTGCTTTACAAACATCTCATTTGAGTGTCACAGCAACCCTTAAATCAGGTGATATTATTATTATGCCCATTTTACAGAAGAGGAAGTTGGGGCAGACCAGAGTTAAGTTACTTGCTTAGAATCACATAGCTAGTCTCTGAGGCAAGATTTGAATGCAGTCCTTCTTAACTTCATATCCAACGCTGTGCCTCTAACTAACTCTTAAAGAGACCATACTGTACTGGTAACATTTGATATGAAAATCAGTGGTGAGCATCAGGTCAAATTTTGAATCATTGAACTATGAGAGGGGGACTCTATGTAAATATTGTACAAGTTCAGGGTTAAACAATGTGATAGAGCAGCTGGGATTAGGAGAGTTATAATATGAAATTATCTCAAGAGACAGAGTGGCATAATTGGGTGGAAACTTTGTTTTACTTAAGGTAATCAAAAATCCAGAGATGGCATTGGAATCTGCCCAGATCTTGAAGGATGAGGATATGGAGACAGAACCAGGAGCTCAAGATTAGCTAGGACAACTCTGAACTGGGGACATCTTCAATTCTCTTCAAAGGAGAGGAGGTAAGGAATGGGAAGGAGCATCTAAATGATGGAAATGTTGGCTCATTTGGGAATCTCTGGGCAGCTAGGTGACGCAGTGGATAGAGTGCTGGCCCTAGAGTCAAGAGTATCTGAGTTCAAATCTAGCCTTTGACACTTACTAGCTATGTGACCCTAGGCAAGTCACTTAATGCTACTTGCCTCAGTTTCCTCATCTGTAAAATGAGCTGGAGAAGGAAATAATAAACCACTCCAGTATCTTTGCCAAGAAAATCCCAAATGGTGTTACGAAGAGTTGGGCATGATTAATCAACTAAATGATAGCAGTGGAAATCTCCATGCAACCCAAGATATTTAATAAACAAATACCAGCAGCAGGACATTCTGACTGAAAACTAAAGCTTGCAAAGAGTCTTGGTGGAGAAGTAGAAGAAATCAATAAATTAACAAACAAATGAAATTTATACACTTACTATATAACAAGAAGGAAAGTTAAGGGAGAAGGTAGGTGCTCAAAACACTTTGATTATGAGCAACATGAATGTTGGAAAAAGTGGTTGAGAGCTGAAAGGGGAGAGTGAGATAATCCCAGTAAGATTTCTACTGTACCTAGGAAAAGTAAGTTGGAGGGTGAAAAAGGTAAATTAAAAACAATAATGAGTTAATTGAACCAACATAAAAAATTGGGTTTATGATGCATGTATGTATGTTAAGCTATCTATTTATAGGAAAAAAAAAGGAATGGTAGGAGAAAATATAGATACTTAAAATATTCCAGTGGTAGCAAATATAGTTAGTGCTGTAGGGTGGGTGTTGGGTTAATGTGTAGGTGTGTTTGTAAAAACCAGGATTCAAATTATGTCTAGAGTTGTGGATATCTATGAGAGTGTCTCTGTGTGTGTAAGATTGAAATGGTAACTAAGCATGATAGAGGAAAAGCCAAATGTAACAATTATAACTTTGCAAAGTGATACATTGAAAAAATCCATTAAAATGAGTTAGAGAATGGATAAAAAGATTCAATAATGTACTGTCTACAAGAAAAATAGCTAAGATAAAAAGATACTTATAGATTTAAAATCAGGTATTGGGGAAAATATTAACTGCATTCGGAAAATTAAAAGCTAAAGTCATGATTTCAGCTAAAGCTGATTTCAAATAGAAAAACATTGAGAGATAAATGTAGTAATATAATAGTTATTATATCATGATTAGAGGGATAACTGAGACCAAAATTATATCAATATTAACTACATATTTTTTTTATTGCTTTTCCAATTGTGGGGAGAGAAGACAAATGTTCATTATAAAAAATAATAATTTAATTTAAAAAATGCTCCAACCATTATTGCTCATGACTTCCATATCTCTTCACTTGAAAAGGAGGAAAGATGTTTGCTGGCTGATGTGTTTTCTTGGCTCTTTGGGTCACTTCATTATTATGTTAGTCAAACCTTTTTAGGAAATATTGACACAATTTATGTTGCTGTCTATTCATCTCTCTCTCTCTCTCTCTCTCTCTCTCTCTCTCTCTCTCTCTCTCTCTCTCTCTCTTTCTCTTTCTCTCTCCCTCTCTCTCCCTCTTTCATAATAGTTTGCTTAAACCACTTAAGTTTAAAGTCCTTCACTCGAACACAACATTTACTCATTTTTGTTCTTTCTTCTAACTTGTTTTAGATTTTCAACTTAGCTCTAACACATTGGTGTTCTTTCTACAAATTGCTAATTCAGAATTGATTCTACATGGGCAACCAGTCATTTGTTGCCCATTAAAATACAATTGTTTTCACTTTTTCAGATATTATTTGGTGTTTTCCTTGATTGATGCCTCCCAACTCTCTTCTTGAAGAAAACATTCATGATGTTTAGACATTATTTCTGTATAGTGCATAATGCCATGATCTGTTTTGTTTCTTATTGCCAATCCATGTTTTCAAAACTTTTTTTTTGTTTTTCTTTCCTATGCTCATCTGTATACTGAAGACATTAGCTATGCACACATGTTTATATAATATGCTTGTATGTGTGCATGTGTGTGGGGTCTTATCCAATTCTTAATATAGTTTTCCTCGTTTTCTGCAAGAGATTTTGTTATGGAAACTGCAATTTTCCTCATAGCTATAATTTTGCTGTGGTATATCACTGAACTATAAAAAGATGAAATATTCATGGAATGATTTCTTGTTGCCTTTTGATTCATGACAAGACCACTTCTCCCACTTCTTTGTTGCCTATCCAAGGAAAATCTATAAGACTTTTCTCCATTTAGACAAAACTTCATTTTGCCTTCTAGTTTAATTTATGGTAGAATATTGAGATTCATTGGATTCATTTCCTCAAGAAGTCAGGTCATTCACTGCTCACCAGCAAGGATCTCAGAGTTAGAACACCAAGATCTAAATGAATGTTTTTGAAACATGGATTCTCAGCATCTGTTGTTCCATTTTCTGCTACTGACACAATTGTCAGATGAGGAGATGACAGAGGCACAAAGGTGAGAGGTATTTCATCTTTTTTTTCTTTTTTATAAGTTGTTGCCTGATGAAAGAATTCATCACCAAGTGACCATTTACTACAGATGAGGTTCTCCATGCCTAGCTAACCAGATCCTTAGGCAGTTTTCATAATCTTTTGCCAAACTTATATCCCACACACACACCTTTTATACCTGGAACTAATAATTGTTTTTATATTTTAAAATAAAGTTTTATTATATTTTAAAATATAGAAATCGTTCTGATTTCCTGACCCCTATAAAACAGGTGTGGGCTGAATTTGGCCTCAAATTATGGTTTGTGACCCCTGGGCTAGACTATAATGATCATGTATGTGTTAGTATAATGGTCAATAAACTTGAGAAACTTAAAACTAATTCAATAAACTTAAAAAAAATGGAAAACTTAAAAAAATAGTGGAGAGAGTATCCATTATTTAAAAAGTTGGAAAAACCAAATAATTTGCTAAGTAATGGAAATAGACCAAACAAATACCCCATAAATGCCAAATAGTTCACCAAATTAATTACATATGTATTAAAAATTACACATTTATTACTGAATTTATCACTGAATTAATTACATATGTATTTTGAAAAAAACATAAAAACTAGAAGTAAGGGATTGGTTATACCTTTCACAACTGTGGAGAAGAGGTACATGTTTAACAAACTGCACATTAGAAGAAATTATAAATTCACTCAATTGTGCCTCCAAGTACCCTGAACCAAGGAACTCTTGAAATGTTGGGTTTCTCCCACTGCTGCTGTATGCAATGGCTGCTGGGAATGAGATGCTTTCCATAGCTGGTTCCTCCATACAAAATATTCCCCAGACCTCTACTATGTCATAACTTTATTTGGTACCTTGGACTTAGCTCCTTACAGCCCTGCAGATAAATTCCTCATTCTTGCTCATCCAATAAAGTTGCTCCTTTCAATTAAGTCAGAGAAAAGTATTCAAACTTTATAAAGGTATCTGGGTGTAAAGGTATCTTTACAGTTAATTTAACATCTTGTTAACACCTTGTGATAACACTCCAAGCTAGAAGGAGTGGTTAAAAAAAAAAAACTCCTCTATACATACATACATGCACAATACATACATACATATTTACATGTTAATATATATGTTCATATACATGCAGATTATTATTAAAATATGCACTTTTCTGTCTTATTTCCTAACAAGGTTATTGATAGGAAAAAATGTTTTTTCATAAGTAAATAAAACTGATTTGTGCAAAAACTGTCCAAATAACACTTTTTTTGGTAGCTTTATATTCCTTATAGATTTATATTCCTAACACCTAGTACAATGCCTGGATAACTAGACACTTGATCAGTTTTACTTTCTTGAGATCAATAATATGGTGCATTATATATCTTGAAACCAGTTTCTAAGTGTCTAAAGTTATGTCTGTTATGGATTTTTCCTATATTAATTAGACCAGGACCACAATTTTCCATTATTCTAGAATCTTTCTACCTTTGAGATCTTCCAAATGAATCTTCAAGAAACTTTCTGAAGTGTTGCATTAAATCCATTTTTTCCCCCTATACGTGTCTGATCAAGTGAGGTAGTATGATGTAGTGAACAGAACTGGCCACGAAGCCCGAAGTCAGGAAGACTTGGATTGAAGCCTTTCTGACATGTATTTGCTTTGTGACCCTGGAAAAATTGTTAACTTTTCAATGACTTAGGCCAATGGTACCAAACTCAAATAGAAAAGGATCTCGAAAGCCACATATTGACTTAGAAAACCACAAATTAAAATTGTTTGTGTTATATTGCATTTTATTTATTTTGGTAAACCTTTCTCAATTACATTTTCATCTGGTTCTCCCTATTTCAGAGTCCTATCTTCCTGGGAGTTTGACACTTTTGCTATAGGCAACTCTCCAAAACTGTAAATTAGAACCTCAATTAGAAGGACTTCTTTCATTAGAGAGTTTATTATTTTTTTTTCAGCCAAAGACAAGGTTTATTAGAACACTGATTGGGGTGAGCAAGATTTCTAGTGAGGCTGCTTTATTGGCTAGATTTTAAGAATCTGAGCCCCTTAATGGCAGCCAAGATGGATCTTATATACAGAAAGACTGTGGGAGGGATCTAGGGGTGGCCAAATGGTCTGAGGTGACTGTGAAGAGGGGTCTAGGGAGGATCTGGATGGGAGTGGCCAGTAAGCTGGGGTTACTGTGAGGTGACAGAATGCCAGGGACCTGGACCACCGTGGCCAAGGAAGAATGGAGTCTAGATAGGATTAATGGTGAGAAGTGACCAGGGACAATCAGGAAGTAACAGAATTGGAAGACTGGGTGTAGGCCATGATGAAAGTAGCCACAATAAAAGGCCAGTTGAGAGGATTACTGGGATGATGCTTTAGGCAAATGCCAGAGAATTGCCAATGTGAGAAAAGAGTTGGGGGGCTCCCCCTGGATCCAGTCATACCTCCCTCAAACAAATGGATCCCAAATTCTTTTGGGGTAAGCAGCAAAGATCTTAGTTTCTGAAATTGCTTCCTGCTGGCAATGGCATAGAATTGTCCCTGCCTCAAGGGGGTCCCTAAGAGGAGGTTTATTGGAATCGAGCACAAGCTGCAGCCAGGGGGTGATGGGGGTGCATGTCCTGCAGTCTGAAAGACACCAATCTGTTTGCAGGGCCCAGTTATGGGGAGAAGCGAAAGGGCAAGAGTCCCATTAAAATAATTTACATTTGACTTGCAGGATTATCTGATCTTGTTACTTTCTCAAAAGTTTAAGTAACACTTTTGCAGGTAGAAATTTTCCACCCCTGGGTTCAATAGTTACACAAATAACTGACTTTTACTTCAATTGTAACAAAATTGAGAGGATACTTAAGCAATGATTAGGCCAAATAGGTTACCTCCCTCTAAGAGAATTTACTTCACCGGAATTCTCCTCCCCCAACCAAACTGAAGATGTTTCTGATTTAATTTCGATTGTTTGGGGTATGGAATGAATACACGTGCACACTTTCATTGGGCTTGTATCTGATTATAGGAATTTGCTATAAAAGGATAAAGCAGGGATGATACTTAAACCAAGTATGACAGGATAAAACATCCTTAGAATTAAGATAATTCACAGTTTTCCAATCACACAGTATCAATTCCACCTGATAGCTAGACTCAGGAATAGCCAGGTGGGTAACCTTCAATGGAACATAATGGGGAAACTGAGCCAGGAGCATCCCATCTTAGACTGAGGCTAACACTGTCCTCTCTGCTTTCCTGATGCAGACTTCTCACCTGTATCACATTGTCTCTGAGTAGCTTGTGGCATTTCTCTCAGATGGTGGATTATTGATTATCAGTGGATTATTATGATCCATCAGACAACTCAAAATAGAATCCCATAAGCTTTTACCTCAAACAGCAAGTTTCATTAATCACAGTTTAGAGGGGGAGAAAAGCCAATTGTCAGAGATTATTTCTATGTACTTGCAAATTCTCAGCAAGCCACAATCCAAACAAGCTTTTTGGCAAGTTTACACACTAAAACAATGAAAATCTTATAATTTTCATAAGTGATAGCCAAATTATTTTAGCTGTAACCAAATTATGAAAAGTTCCTTGATGTAAATGATACAAAAGTTTACCAATTTGAAACTTAAAACAAACCGTTTACTAACCAGGTGATTTCAATTTTGTTAAATGCATTACCAAACTACTCACCCTCACGCCTTCCTTTCACCAGGTGGGGGCAGGTGAATTAGAAGTTGGTGGGGAAGGGTGAAACTCTCTTCTCCTATGGGAGGAGTGAAGAGAGATACCTTTCCAGTTTTCTTAAATACCATTTCCATTCCTTTTTTTTGGATGTGACATCAGGCAGAAGAAGTCAAATCTACATTTGGTGGTCCAGTATCAGCAATGAGTTTTAGGGGCCATTTGGTGGCCATAGAGTGAAGGCCATAGAGTCAGAAAGACCCATCTACACGTGTTCAAATCTGGCATCAAACATTTACCAGTTCTGTGACCCTGGGCAAGTAATTTAACCCTGTTTGCCTCAGCTCCTCAACTGTAAAATGACCTGGAGAAGGAAATGGCAAATCACTCTAGCATCTTTGTCAAGAAAACCCCAAATGAGGTCATGAGGAGTTGGACAGAACTGAAAAAAACAAACTGAAAACAACTTTTAAAAGTTTAAAGCACTACATAAATGTTAACTATAATAAAACAATTATTAGTAATTGTATTATTATTCCAAGAAAAATCAATGATGTAGAGTCAGAGGACCTGACTTCCATGGGTCTCAGTTTCCTCATCTGTAAAATGAGGAATTTGAAGAAGATGGCCACTGGAATCTCTTCAAGCTATAGAGTTATGATCCATGTATCTATAGAAATATCAATATATTAATTTGTTTTTATCTTTCTACTTCCATTCATCCACAAAACCTGAGATGATCTGGTTTGAATAGGTCTTGTACCCAGCTTTCTGCAGGATTGTTTTTCTCTGTTTTATGAAGCAATAATGTTCTTTATCTTCCAATTTTTACAATAATGCAATATTAATTTGCCATAAGAAATAGTGAGAGGGGTAGTTTCAGAGAAACCTGGAAAGATTTTACTAACTGATGCAGAATGAAGTGAGCAGAGTCATAATAAAAATTTATATAATAACATTACAAATGAATAATTTTGAAAGACATTAGAGCTCTCATCAACCCAAAGTTCAAGTATGATTCTAGAATACTGATGATACCCACTTCCTGATATAGAGATGACAGACTCAATATTCAAAATGAGACACATTTTTGGGCATGGCCAGTGACAATTTGTCTTATGATGTATATTTGTTACAAAGATTTTGTTCTTTTTTTTTTACCCCCATTGCAGGGCAGGGACTGAAGGGGAGAAAAGCAAATGATTGTTACTTGAAAAAAAAAACTTAAAAAAAAAAAAGAAACACAAATACCAGTTTCTAAACTGGTGTTGCACTAAGCTGCCATATTTTCAGGCTGAGTCAGTTTCTGTTTTTTTTTTTTTTTGGCCTTCTCAGTGTGGCAACTTTTGCATTGGTGAGACTTCTCAAGTATGTAGCATCTATCAGAGTCAATATGTGTAATTTTCATTTATCTATTTCCAAATTTTCAAAGTCAAAAGCATTTCAGATAGGTCCGGTGGACAGACCTAATTGAGTATAGTGTCTTCTCATCATTATTCTTTTTTTCTGATTTAATTCTAATTAGTTATTGACTGTCATCCTTTATCTAAATGATGTTGTGATTTCATTCTGAGAACTGTGTCTGCAGTGACCCCCATTGTGATGCCATTGTGATGTATTGGAAAGATTTCCACCTTGCCTCTGATGAGTTGTCTCTTGTGTCTGCTTTGTAATCCAGAGGATCTGGATTCAGAGGCCTGGTCTGGTACTTGCAGCCTGAATGAAGTTAGGCAAGTTTCTTAATATCTTTGCACCTCAGTTCTTTATTTACAAAATGAGAATATTGGATGATATCACCTTTAATTTTCCTTCCGGCAAAATATTTATGATCTTATAATTCTATGAAGGTTTCTGCCCCATGCCAGCCTACCACTAGTTTCCTTATCTGTGAATTAAGGACAACAATATTTTCTAGTTACCATATTTTTCTGTTATTGTAGCACCTTATATAATTTGCATTTTTTGAAAATAATTTAGTGGATGTTAAATGCAATGAATTCCAATAATGAAAGATTCAAATAAAGAGAAGTCATGTAGGAGGGATTGCTTCAAAAGCAGAATCAGGGAAAAATATATGGCATTTGTTGATATTTTAAAGTTTTATCATCTTTTCTATTTTGAAAGATATGAGATGTAAGACTTCTGTAGTGTTAAATTTTCATTTTTTTCTTATTATTAATGTGCTGAATCCAACTTTAAAATAAAGTTATAACTTTATATATAACTTTACATTTTTTTTTCAAGAAATAGGCTTTAGGGGCAGCTAGGAGGTGTAGTGGAAAGAGCACCGGCCCTAGAGTCAGGAGGACCTGAGTTCAAATCTGCCCTCAGATATGTAACACTTGCTAGCTGTGTGACTCTAGGCAAGTCACTTAATGCCAATTGCCTCACAAACAAATAAAA